TATAAAAATTATACCTAACAACTTTAGTATTACAAGGCATACAATAATTACCATAAATAATATTTTATAATTGACAATTTGTATTAGGCAATAAAAATTAATAATTAATAATTATGAACATGGTGTTGTGAACATAATTATGAATATAGTGATTCAATAATTGTGAATATGAAGTTAAAAAATTATGCATATATATATTTATAATTATGAACATATAGTTGAGTAACTATGAACATAGAGTTCTGCAATTATGAATATAGAGTTCAATACTTATGAATATGAAGTTCAAAAATTATGAATATATAGCTTTATAATAATGAACATATAGTTCAGTAATAATAAACATAGAACTGTGTAAGGTGGACACGGTTCCACAGCATAACTATTCGATTGACCCTGTTACATGTAAACTTTCTCAAACCTATTGAAGCCCAACGTGTCAAAGGGCTCTTATTTAAGAAACCTTATGTTAATGGCTTCTTATTTTAGTTTTTAAAAAAAATAAAATTTATTAGGGGGTTTGAGAAAGATTATTAACCCAAAATGTATATGAGTTGTTTTAGTTTTTAGTAGTTTGGAGCAAATTGCTAAGTTATTAAATAATATTTTTGGTGTTTTGATTAAATATAAAGTGTTAAACAGACGAATTTCATAAAATTTTGACGAATTTGCCAAATAATCAAATTACAATAACAACAATAACAACAACAACAACAACAATAATAATCCAAACAAAACTATATACAAAATAAAATTAAAATTAACAAAAAAAAAAAAAAAATAAGACAAAGGCGAGCCACCGGCTCCCTTTGTAAATGACGTCGGATCAAAATTTAATCCCCCATTGAAAATGTTTGAAAAGAGAGAGCTCCTCTATATAAGAGGAACAATGATCCTCTTATAAACATAATTGCTTGCCCATCAATGTGGGCAAGTATTGAGAAGTCAAAAGGTTCTTATTTAAGAAGCTTTAACTTTGTCTTCTTATTTTAGTTTTTATTTATTTATTTATTATTAGTGGGGGTTGTGGAAAATTAACCCAAAATGTATGTGTTGTATTAATTTTTAGCAGTTTGGAGCAAATTACTGAGTTACTATATAATATATTTTGGTGTTTTGATTAAAGTTAAAATGTTAAAATGACGAATTTATTAAAATTTTGGCGAATTGATCAATAATCAAATAATAATAATAATAATAATAATAATAATAATAATAATAACCACCACCACCACCACCACCATCATCCAAACAAAACGATATACAAAATAAAATTAAAATTAATAAGAAGAAGACAAAAGGGAGCCATAGGCTCCCTTTGTAAATGATGTTGGATCATTTTGATCACACATTGAAAATGTTTGGAAAGATGAGCTCTTGAGCTCCTCTATATAATAGGAGCAATGCTCCTCTTACAAACATAATTGTTTGACCATCAATGTGGGCAAATAATGAGAAGTCCAAAGGCTCCTAATTTATTTTTGAGTACTATTGACCCGACAA